AAATATTGCGTAACCTTACGCCGTAATATTTGCATAAGTTTACAAATCGTAAATCTTACGCAATACTTCGCATTAAATATATTCCTGATGATGTAAACGAAAAGTTTCCATTAGAAAGTGGATGGGCACTCAAAAGTAGTTATAAATATGGTCAATAAGGCACTAGAAAATATATATTAATGAAGTGAAAACTTGCCTAAAAGATTTTTTTTTAGCGGGAAATATAAACAAAACTGACCAAATATTTACAAAAAATATGGTAATACAGCTAAGAAAATTAGTTGAAGAAGAGGAAATTCAAGAAAGCGAGATGCCAGAAATCAAAACAGTTGAAGGATGAATTATAAGGTATTCGGTAAGCTTACATAAAGAAGTGGCAGAACAAAGAGTAATAGATAGATTATGCGATCAAGAAAGCCAGATTGGAACTAGTAAAAGACCTGAAAATGGTAGTAAAAATACTCTGCCAAAGAATAAACGGCAGAAAAAATAAAAATTTTTTATTAATTACATCTAAAATTAATAAAATTTCAAATTTTTTATACTTTAAATCTCCGTTTCCTCTATAGTAAAGTTTTCGAATAGAAAACTAAAACATATTTTTTTATTAAATAATAAAATTTGTGATATATTTTATCATATTATCAAATTTTTTTTAGGTTACATATTATTTTTATATGACCAATATCAAGATGATTGCTGTGTATTGATAACTTATTATATGATGATCACCTCAAAATTGTCTCATAAGATTGCACCGATTGATCAGTGAATCGTCAATTAATTTTTTCAAAATAGTAATTTCAAATTAGGATTAGCAAAGGTAATCATATTTTCATTAACATTAACTTATGCAATTTTTAAATAATTATTAATAGCTAGAGCTAATTAATTTTATTTATGCATACTATGTTTAATAAAATAATAGAATAACAATAAAATAGTTTTATTAGTTTTAAATTATATTGTACCTTAATAAATTACAATTTATTATTAACTCTGCCTTGACATCCTGATACTGTGTCTCCTTCTTATTACTAAGATGAATAATAAAATTCTAAAAGAATTTGTCTGATAGACTTATCAATCTATTTAAAACTTTATTATAAGAAAATAAATGAAATTTTATTAATATAAATTTTATATTTACAAATAAAAAACTACTAAAATTTATCTAATGTTAAATTATTTTCTTTATTTAATATCTTATAGCATTTTATATTTACTTGCAAATTTCTTGTATTAATAATATATCAATAATTATTTTTCAATCTGGTAAATTATAATTTGGCTAAAGTTGCTTGAGCAGAATGGATATTTAATTAGATTCTATAGTAAGCTATATCATATAAAAGTTTTAATTACTGATCTGTAAATGATCAGCACTAAAATCATATATTAATTATATAAAATTAAGGGTTAATAATATTATAATTTTATTAAAGCCTTTAAATCTCAAAATGCGTTTACTATTTGCTTGTAAATTTCCTAATGTCAAAGTATTTAAACATTTCAGTAACTTTAGTAGTATTAGGTTTAATTGTTAAAAATTTACATTATAACTCACATTCTCATATTTACTTAAACTATAATTCAAAGTTAGTTCCAATACATGTTGAACAAAAAATATGTATTTATCTTAATAATAGAGAATTTTTAGTTCATGTTATAATAGAAAACAATAAAAATCCTTTACTTTTAGATTAGATTTGTGAGTTAAGCGAATATTCTAGTAATAAAGAAATATTATCTACAAAGCTATTTCTTCTTTATATTCACAAATTTTCAAAACAAATACTTGTTATTTGGGACTTACAATAATTAGTTTTGATGATAATAATATAATAAAACAAATTTGTCAAGACATTCATTTTTTTCCTTTTATTATATATGTAGAAACTTATAAAGTATTTGTTTTTAATATTAATAAATCCTCTAATTTAGAATGGTATAATATTGGCAATAGGTTTAGTTTATCAATAATCCATCCGATAAAAAAAACAAGCAGTTTTTATTTCACAAATTCAAGATAATAAATGTATAGACCTCCGCCAAAAGTCTCTGAACGCTTTTTGGCTCAATGTAAAACTTAAAATTTTAAAATTTATTAAAAATTTATTAATTTATTTATTAATTTACGATACGCTATACATTTAGTATTAAATAATTAGTTACTTGGTCGGGCCTTTATTTGCTTCATCACAGCCCAAATTCGCTGTGATAAATCATTTCAGTCAGCTTCGCTGCGAATCATTAATTAAGGATGGTTGATCAGAACAAAGCTTTGAATAATGGTTCTGATGTCATCTATTCTTTTTAAAGTTCTAAATGCTATTAAAAATCCACAACTGATATTTGTGACAATAAGCTGGTAATTATTACTACATTGTCAGGTAAAATTTATACTGCCACGTTATTCTTTGAACTTTTTCGTGGTTTTCAGAAGATAAAATTTAATTTTAATTAAAAATCAAAATAAACAAATCAAACATGCTTTTATTTAGTTTTGATTCAAGCAAACAAGATCAGATACATTACATGACCGTAGTATTATACAGTCCTTTGATGTACTCAGTATAAAATAGCCAAAAGATAACATTCAGAGACTTTTGGCGGGATCTGTATATTAGACATTTATTAATATAGTCAGAAAATTATAGCTTTAGTGATATTAGTCTGAATAATATATAGAAAAATTAGGATATATACAAAAAATTGAAAGGAAGTAAATTATTTAGACTTTATGATTCTATTATATAACATAATATAAAATATTGTGTATCTACTTATTCAGTTCAAGATTGAAATAACTTAGATATAATGATTTTACTTTATAATTACCATCTTTGCTGACGTATAATTTCTAATATAAATTGAAAGCTTTTATTTGATAAATGGATGGATCAGAAAAGTGATATAATTGAAATTTATTCAGTTTTTAAAATCATATATCCTATACAGCATACATTTAGAAATCGTGAAATTAGTGTATGGCAATCTTTTTTAAAAGTCACGGGTTATTCTAACATTTCTCCATTTGAATCAAAAAAATCAAAAGTTAGTATAAAAAAAATGATTTTTTTTTAAGTCTGATTTTTAATAATTAATAATTAATATTTAGTTTCAATTTTAGACAAAATCATCTAATTCTATAAAGACAAAAATACATTATTATAATTATATAAAGCTGGATTTCTTATATCTATACCCAGTGATATACATTTTTGATGTCTTAGAGATTTGTTGTCCCAGTTATATGTCCTAGCTATATGTCTCAACCTGTCTTATACTATGTCCTAAATGTCCTATTTGTCTCATCTATATCCCATTAGTGTCCCATCAGTATCCCATCAATGTCCCATGATAACACTGCCTATATCTATACATATGTTAACAAAAATTAGAATTTTTTGGAATTGTATGGATTGTACATTAAAAGATAATACTAAATCTCATAATAAAAATGTCAAATTCTTTCAATAATTGCAGATTAATTCACATATGCAGAAATTGAATTTATTTTGAAAGTAAGTTATAAAATAAATATGATACTTTTGTATTGTAAAATATATATTATCTAATAATAAATTATTGTTAAAAAAGGTTGGCCATTATATAATTATTGAAGAAAAATGTTATACACTAATAAATGGATATGATGCTCCTGAATTAGAAAAGCCTATAATTCATAAAAAAAGGTTTAATCCAGAACAATTGGCCTAATTTGATAAATTTTTTTCAGATAAAGCTCATGTAAATATGAGCTCTTATAAAAGTGAAGCAAAAACTAAATTATCAATTCTTTATTTATAAAATCATAAAAAAGCATTATGGGAAAAATTTGATGAAAAATACCTTAATAGAATGCATTATACTGCATTTATGACCTAACATAAAGAAAAAAAGTTTGTATATTGTAAAAATTTAGGTGAGTTATATTCTATTTGTAATGAAAATGGATATGAAACATTTGATTAGATACAAAAGCTTATTGAAAAGTATATAGAAAATATTATTAGTCAGGTATTATTATATTTATCTAATAAATTTAATAATTTATTTTTACCTATATGCATTTTTATTATTCAATAGAAAACATTATTTGAAGAATTAGAACTAATTCGTCAATATTTGAGATGAGATTTTAAAAATAATTTAGAAATAAATAATTTAGGAGAAGCAATACGTAATTCATGTATTAGCTATTGTTTACAGTATGCATTTAGTGATTGTGATCTTTAACATTCCAATACTTATACAAATTGTAAAAAAACTTTTAGTTTTTTGATAAACTTCGTGAAATTTTACCAACTGAATACCATTAATCTCTTGAAATATATTAACAAAAATTACTATATTTTATGGCCCATAATACATGAAAAATTTATCTAAACTAACAATTAAAAGTAAATCTATATGAACTTGATCATAATGATGCACTTATTATTGTTGATTATAAAATGCATATCAATTTACAAAGTTTATGTAAAATAAAGACTGACTTTTATAAAAAGTAAGGATTTACTTTATATACAGTATTAGTTTATACTAAATTGGAAAATGATAGAGATTTAAATATTAGTGTATTTGATCATTGGTCAAGTGATACTAAACAAGACGCCTGATTTATAACATCATCTTTACATGCTATTATTAATACTTTGGATAACAAACCTTAATGGATGACTATTATTTTTGATAATAGTTCTCATTATCATAATATTGAGCTAATAATTATTTTGGCTTATTAGAAGAATTAGTATAATATTTCTGTAAAGAAGTAGATATTTTTAAAAGTGAAAGAGGTAAAAATAGTGATTGATTCACATCATGCATAAGTTAGTATATTTATAATTATGAAATTTTTATAAAAATAAAAATTACTTTATTTACCTATTTGTTTTATAGATTATACATTCTATGAAACGTTATGTAAAATTGGGATATGATATTACTAAAGAAGATATTGAAAATTCTATAAAGGATTTAGCAGAAACACATATAGCTAATTTGCAACCAAATCATGAATTAGATAAGAATACAAAATAAATTGATATTAATATTTATTTTAAATATTAAAACTGAATTTTATAATAATAAAAACAAAAAATTAGTACCTTGACTGGCATTGTGAATTGGAGTAAATGGAAATAGCCTACTGAAAATTCTTATAAAGGTAGCATTTGTGCACGTACTTTACCTAATTTTGGATTATAGAATATTTTTTTTTTAGTAAAATCTAAAAGATAGTAAAAACCTGAATAATTGAGATGTCAACACCAATTACATCTATACATGCTCAACCAAAAAATAAGTGGACAACTGCATTTTCTAAGAAATTCAGTATTTTTTTTGAACTTTTTTTTTTATATTTGATTTTTATTAATTTTTTATTGATTTTTTATGTATTTGGTAGGTGAAGAATTACAAAATTCTGAAAGCAATGAATATGAAGACAAAGTAATTAGTTTTATTATATAATTATTTTGTTAT